TTTATGCAGTGCGGTATTTGTAGTTTTACTGCTGTTAAAGATCTGAGCACGTCTTCCACAAGTCAGTAAAACAAACAGTCTGATTGGTCAGAATGTGCAGACGGACAGCAGCAACTGTGTGTGTGTGTGTGTGTGTGTGGTCAGAGGTGAGGTGGTCTGGTTGTCTCTCAGTGCTCGTCCTCAAATAGAGTCTCCGTGTAAACACAGTCCAAAGCGGACCGTCTCTTCTCTCTCACTCACAGTCGGTCAGCTCCACTTTGACTTCATCAATAGTCTTATAGATGGGTCATTGATCAGGTCAGCTGACTCTGCTGGTTCCACCTTAACTCACCAACAGCCTGCATGTTAACCAGGATCTTTACTGGGACGTCTGAAATGTTTCCTCCTCCACAGCTCCGTGAGGTCTCCGCTTTATGAGGTACCAAATCTATGCAGCATGTTTGTCAGGTCTTTAAACTGCTGTCATTAACAACAACAACAACAACAACAACAGTTTTGTGTCTCTGTTCATATTTGAAATGATTCTTCAAATTTTGACTGAGACTTAAAACAAAGTTATGGCTGAGTGAACATCCATCGTCAACTTTGCGTATGAAATGAAGTTACATATAATTCATATGTAGACTGAGCAGTTGGGCGTCAGGCTGATGGCGTTAATGCGTAAATCATGATGTAATTAAGGTCCGAACATAACACCTTAGTTTTTTAATTGCCTGCTGCTATTTTTGCCGCAGCCTGTCGTTCAGAGGCTGTCGATGGTGGCGTGTTAAAGCTAGAGAGATGAAACTGGCATTATATGAAACTAGAACCAACCATGCTGTCCTAGCTTCTCAGTGAGGGAGGTGAAAAATGCTCCAAAGTTAGGCTAAATTTTGGGACAGGAAAAACAGCATGGCCATTTTCAGAGAGGTCTGTGGACCTTTGAAGACAAAGAAGATCTACTTTAGTGTCCCAGCAGCTTTTAAGGACAGTCAGAGGAAATATTCCAGCAGAGAAAAAGCTCCCACGTACCCACCTGGCATTATTTTGTAACCTGTTTTTTCGTTAGGTCCCCAAAGGTGTCTACTTAAGAATTTTTCTTGTTGCTAAGGTAAACTCTTGGCCCATGGGGTTTGTTTAGCAGCCATCTTGAACTGATGTCCACGCTCTTACATAAAGCACACGTCGACAAGTCTTCTCAAGCTGAAAATCACAAGCTGCAGACAAGACAAATGTGGGGAGCGTGTCGAGCTCCTCGGGCAGAGGTTTGTCTGCTCATCTGTGGAGTTCCAAGACAAAGGGTTAGTGACATGCAGTACCTCTGGATCCAGGGTGGGCTTTTTGTGTGTAGTGATGATGATGATGTTTAATCAGACTCACCTGTCAGATGGAGTGCTTATGTTGGAGGAGGAGCAGAGTTGTGAGACTGACGCAGGTTTAAAAAGTCTCAGATCTTTAACCTGTAAAAAATGTGCACAACAGCTGCAGCAGAATTTATCAGTCTTCATTTTTATCCTGCAGGACATCATCTGAACCAAAGACAGGACACTGGACCAAGTCCTCATCCCTGAGACACAAGATGGACAAAACACCTGGACAACATCTGGACAATGGACGCCATTAAAGAGTGGAAGAAAATGACCTAAGAATCCAGAAACATCTGGACAAGACACATCAATCAGACAGTAAAGACACTGAGGACAGCAGACTGACATCTGGACAGTAAAGACACTGAGGACAGCAGACAAAGAGGGTCGGGGGAGGGGGGAATGGGAGGAGCAGTGTGTAAAGAGGAGGTGAAGGAGGAGAAGAGGAGGAGCGAGGGGAGGGAGGACAGTCTGACATCAGTGGACAGAATCCGTCGATTCACCGTCAGACAGTTTGGATATAATGTCCTGAGTCTGGCTCGCCGAGGACTGAAGGTACGTCCAGCTGCTGTCAGAGGACAGAGACATGTGTCTGCACAAGTTTGGACACCCTGAGACATCAGAGCTGTGAGACACCAGGGTCTCAGACCATCATTAGCTTGTTCACAGTCCTCGTTATGGAGGGACAGCTGATGCTCATGTCAAATCTTTATAGACCAACTTTTATTGGACGTCACAGTTAGATCACAGCAGCGCCTCCTGGTGGCAGAAAAACAGCGGACATCAGAGAGACAAAGGGGACATACCCAGAATAAACATATCTTGTTATGCCGTCGGATGTTAGAACAGGAGACATCCACACAGAATATCATTTAATGTGGACGTCTCCACAAGTTTGAACCAGGGACAATAAGACAAATCCATGTTTGGCAGTTTTTACAGCTCGTATGATGATGAATTATCTTTCATCACGTCAGTAATTCAGTTCATGTAATCCAAACACACACTCCTCTACTGAGCGTCCAGCAGCCATTACAGCCTGAACACACACATTAGAATTATTATAATTATTATAAGTTTTATTTGGCGCTCACACTGACACCACGACTGTCATTTTCTGCCATCAGTTTAGCTCCACCCACAAAGCACATCATCATCATTTGCAAACACAAAAATATTCCTTTTATTCCTTTTGTTCAGCACTTTGGTCGACGTGAGTTGTTTTTAAATGTGCTTTACAGATAGATTTGAGTTGAGTTTTATTGTCTTCACAATTTATTGTTTCTTATCTGCGAAATTAAAGTAAATCAAAGTTTTGTTTCCACTGAGGGAAATGGTGTCAGCTTACAGAGACAGACAGGAGGTCTGCACTGCAGCAATGTGTTTCTGGGGAGGTGCACGTCAGGCTACAGTGTAGGATCTACATCGACACAGAGCTTACGCTGTAGGTATGGTTTTGATTTGACGCAGAGGTATATTTTGGCTGCACATTACCTGCAGGAAGATTGATCAGACTCCGGAGTGGTGGTGCACTGTTCTACTGCGCAGACACACCTGTAGAAATATGACCTTCATGGAAAAGTCATCAGAAGAAAACTTTTCCCCTGTTCTCACCACTAAACTTAGCCTCACAAGTTTGTAAAGGAACATCGAAACAAGCCTGATGCTTTTTAGTACAAATAGAACTTTTTGGACACGGTGGACAAAGGGACACCTGTCCAACTGTAAAACCCAAGGGTGGATTGGTCATGCTTTGGGCTGGTAGTAGTAGCAGTAAGAGTATGTGTAATCTTTATTGTGTATGTGTGTTCCCGCAGGAGGTCCCAGATGAACTGTGGGAGCTGTTGGAGTTGGAGAAGCTGAATCTGTCTCTCAACAGTCTGAAGGTTCTCCCTCCTCAGCTGGCTCTGCTCTCCAACCTGGTCGTCCTCAACCTGTGGGGCAACCAGGTAAACATCCAGGACACAGAGAACACAACCAGGAGAGTTTTATACACCTTAACAACAAACTAAACATTTAAAATGTTTAAAAGAAGAAATTAAAAAAATCAAAACGAAATACAGGCATAAAAAATATCACTGAGGTGCCTCAGGGCTCTGATCTCAGTCCATTATTATTTACATTAAACATAAATGACATTATTCTTTCTAAGGACATATATTCACTTATATCTCTTGGAGTTAAGTACATATATTAGATACTTTACATCAGAGGTGTGATGGCAGTGAGGAATTGGACCCAAAATGCAGACACAGAGGGAAGAGGGTTAACAGGTTTATTGTGTCAGAATTGTGCAGAGAACTGAGGAGATCCGGAGTCGAGGTGCAGAGTGAGGAAACCAGGTGAGAGTGCTGGGCTGTGGGCTGCTGAGAGGCACGGAGGGAGACACTGGAACAAAAAGGCAGGAGAACGAGGGTTAACACACGAGGAGCAAAAAAACACCATCAAACTTGCAAGATACTTAATTCACTGGAGGATCAGAGGAGCCGAGATACCACTGCGTGCAGAAGCGAATACTCTGGCACTGAGGCTAGAGACGGTGGCAGTCTTAACAGCCCGTTGGTTGCCGATGAGTCACAGGTGTGCGCACTCAGCCTCAGTGCAGGGCGGGGGAAGGGAGAAGCCTCTGGAGACAGGTAAACACAGCAGCAAACAACCCACACAGGAAGTAGACTCCGGAAATGTTCATAAAATAAAAGCAAAGTCCATGCTCACCACAAGAGGTTGTCATTAGAGTCCTAATTTATCCCCCTGGTGCCATCATGTATTTAAGCAGTGTTGCTCCACCTGTAACACAGCGCAGTGACGTCATTACAAGTGTGCAACGTAGTGCCACAGAGGACAGAATAGTTAGCTTTCTGCTGCAGAGAGAATAAATGTTGGAGCTGTTATGGTTCTTCTTATTTTACATCAAGTTAAACAGAATCACACAAATAGCGATCTCCCACAGCCGTCTGAAGAGCGTCCATTTTTAAATGGTTAACCCTATGGGCCCTAGGCATTTTTGGGGTATTTTTCCTGCCTTTACTTTTAAGCTCATATCACAGTCATTATAAAGGCTACATACACATGCTATATCTTGGTTTTTTTTTCAGGACAATCTGGGCTAACCAGATTTGCCATCTTTCCATGTCCTTCTATGTGCCTGTATTTTATATTAATTTTTATATCAATGAAAAAAAACAAATCCGTGTGACTAAATTCTTACATTTTTACATGTATCTCACCACAGCAAGTTGGAAGTTGACATATTCTGCCATATATGAAGAGGGGAGACTCTCTCTGGAATCTGGCAATATAAGAACCATGATGGTGGGACATTCTGTCACTTCACAGCTGTCCAAAACATGTGGTTTGTGCCAGACGGACATAATTGCCAGTATTTTTTCATTATTATTGCAAGAAATTCCATTGACTCATTCACAAGTCAAAAATGTGATTTATCTGAAAGAAACATGCAATATTTACATCTAAGATCATAGAAAAATAGTCAACCAAGTGCAATGATGTCCTCCAAGATAATATTTGCCACTTTGTTTGCAGTAAACAAAGTTTGTTGTTGTTTTTCAGTTTCAGTTATATACTGGGGGGGCATTTTGGGCATTGGGGAGGGACACATGTCTTGGTCTAGTCGGAAAGCTACGATTCCGCTGTTTCACGTGATATGCGTAGCTTCTCGCTATGATGCACGGTCGCGGAGAAAATCAATAGAGAAGAACAGGTGTGAATTTGAACGCACTATGCATCGTTCGGGCCCATAGGATTAAATATATTTTGCTCATAATACTATGTAGTTGTACTAAAGTAATCTTTTCAATGCAGGTTATAAAGTATTTTGTGGTATTGCTACTTTTACTTAAGTAAAGGGTCAAAGTACTTCTTCCATCAGTGCTTTAATATCTGTGTTTATGCAGGTGATGTTTTACTTTCCTCAGGCTCTGACTCATCTTCAGTCTCCAGGTTTAATCTGAATTAAGTCTTTCTGTGTGGAACTGAAGGCTGTTCCACCAACTCTGATGTCAGAGATACTCCTGGTAGACAGAAGTCATATCAGAACCACACTGCTCAAATAAAATAAAGGGAACACTTAAATCACACATCAGATCTTGATGAACAAATTATTCCCATGTAAAATCTTTACTGACAAACACTGTATGGTTAGTTGAGAAGAAAATGACACAACAACTGTCAGTGGAAACTTAAGTCATCGACCCACTGAGGGCTGGATTCAAAATCAGAGTCAAACATGTAAATCACAGGCTGATCCAATGTGTGTGAATTTGATCACAGCAGCTCATCATGTGACTCAGCAGTGTGCACAGCCCCCGCCTGCCTGTATGACCTCCTGACAACGTCTGAGCTCCTGATGAGTCGCAGGATGGTGTCCTGGGGGATCTCTTCCCAGACCTGGATCAGGGCATCAGTGAGCTCCTGGACAGTCTGTGTTGGACGCACCGATACATAACGTGCCATAGGTGCTCAGCTGGATTTAGGTCAGAGGAACGAGAGGGCCAGTCAATGACATCACTGCCTTCATCATCCAGGAACTGCCTACACACTCTGGACACATGAAGCCGGGTCCTGCACCAGGAGGAACCCAGGGCCCTCTGCACCAGGAGGAACCCAGGGCCCTCTGTACCAGGAGGAACCCAGGGCCCTCTGCACCAGCGTAAGGTCTGACAGTCACTCTGAGGATCTCATCATGGTACCTAACAGCAGTCAGCGTATTGTTGGCTCTGACATGGAGGTCTGTGCGACCCTCCAAGGATCTGCCTCCTGTTGTGGAAATTCTCTGCTGCTGGTGAATAATGAAATAGAGACTTCTGCCAGCCAACAAGGTTTTTATTTTCTTTGCAAAGAAAATGTCAGTCATCACACGAGTGGTCAGAATGAAGAAAGACCCCGAGCATAGGAAAGCCTAAGCATTTATACCTGAGGAACGCCTCTTTCGGTGTGTTTCACACCCTTCTGTCTGCGGCAGGGAGCAGCGCCCCTACCCATTGTTTTCACTCTCTTTCGTCTGCCGCAGGTATTGGCTCCGACCCCCTAGGGTGTGTTTCACACCTGGCATATCCTGCAGCATTTTGTATCTAGGTGTGAGGTTAAGATGTCTAGACATTCTTAAGTATTTGAAAACACAAAGTATACACAAAGAAAATGAAATTACAATTACACTCCCCAGACCATCACTGACCCACCACCACACCGGTCATGCTGGATGATGTCACAGGCAGCATAACGTTCACCACGGTGTCTCCAGACTCTTTCACACCTGTCACATGTGCTCAGTGTGAACCTGCTCTCATCTGTGAAGAGAAAGGGGCGCCAATGGTGGACCTGCCAGTCAAGCTGCACGGTGCTGGGCTGTGAGCACAGGTCCCACTAGAGGACGTGGGTCCCTCATGCCACCCTCATAGAGTCTGTTTCTGACAGTGTGGTCAGAAACATGCACACCAGTAGCCTGCTGGAGGTCATGTTGTAGGGCTCTGGCAGTGCTCCTCCTGTTCCTCCTCACACAAAGGAGCAGATAGCGGTCCTGCTGCTGTGTTGATGCCCTTCTACGGCCCTGTGCAGCTCTCCTGGTGTAACGGCCGGTCTCCTGGTATCTGGTATCAACCTGACTGGGCTGCAGGTCCCGCCTCATGCTACCAGTAGTGCCAAGGACACTAGCAGAAGACCAAACTAGAGAAGAATCAGTGAGGAAGGATAAGGAGAGAGCAACTGTCTGTGGACATCACTTGTAAAACCATTTCCTGTTTGTCTCTCCATTGTTCCTGTTGTCTTTGTGATTTGACCCAAAGCAGCTGAAACTGATTCACAATCACTTTATTGATCTCCCTGAAGTTTGACTGACTTCCTGTTACACTGTGACCATTAAGTGTTTCCTATATTTTTGAGCAGTGTAGCTCAGGTACTCTGCACCTCTTAAATAAACTGTGACTCACCCTCCTGACAGATTCATTATCCCTCTTGGATATTTAAAGTTTTGTATTTTAATGTTTTCATGAGTCTTGTTTTTACGAGTTCTCTGTTGGTTGTGTTTGTCAGGTCAGGTCCCCAAGGTCCCCCCAACAGCCCTGGATAAATAAAGATTATAATCCCCCTCTGATCCATCAGGATCCAGTTTCTGTCCTCTGTCCTCTCCTCACCTTCCTCCTGCATCCACCAACCTTCAGTACTGAGACACACAAACACAGTAAAGTGCTGCCGGCGCCCCAGAGAGGCCGCTGGCTTCATCATACCCACAGAATCGTCATCTGAGAGCCTTCAGTTACAGAATGTGTGAAAAATCCACCACAAAGAGTTTGAAAATGAACTTTACTGTGGGATTCAGTCGATACTGACATTTACTGTCCGTGTGCAGCTCAGCAGCCTGCCAGCAGAGATCGGACAGCTGAGGAGACTACGCGTTTTATTCGCCTACAGAAACAGACTGACTGAAGTCCCTGAGGAGCTGGGAGCCTGTACACAGCTGGAGGTACTGCAGATACTACTGAGAATACTTTAAGTACTGCTGACTCAGCTCTGAGATCAGACACAGAGACTCTCATTGTGGACGGCAGTAATGACGATATAGATATTAACGAATGTGAAGTCTGCTAACGAGATCTTGACACTTAGAGCACAACGCTCCTAAAACACCGTCAGACACAGGATGGACGTGTAGTTCGACTCATTTGTTTCTGTCTCTCAGGTCCTGAGTCTGGCCAACAATCAGCTGTCCTCGCTGCCTGCTTCGCTCTCCAACCTGACCCGACTGAGGAAACTCAACCTGAGTCACAACCACATCGCTCACGTCCCGGGCTGCATTTACAACATGAAGGCTCTGGTACGTTCAGCCTGACTGCACAGACGTGTCCCTGACAGGTCTTCGTATGCTCACACCCACAATTCGTCAAGTCCACAACCATCCTCAAGATGACTTCCTGTAGACTTCCAGAGACTCTGGTTAAGGAGACAGTACTGGAGGTGTGGACTTAAGTCACATGACTTGGACTCAAGTCAGACTCCAGTCACAAATTTGATGACTTTAGACTCAACTTGGCAAAATCAAAAGACTTGCAAGTCAACTTGGACTGTAACACTAATGACTCGTGACTTTACTTGGACCTGAACCTTTTGACTTGAAAATACTCGATACGTTCCCCAAAGAAGACCAAAGAAGAAGAAGTCTGCATTTAAAAAGTGTGACATGAATCAAGTCGTTTACTGAATCAACAAACGTAAACACAATTCATCACCAGTCGACGCTTAATGCTCGAGATCCATCTTCTGAACCAATCGGACAGCATCCAATCACGTCGCAGAAATGAACCACGAAGAACTAATCAAACAAATTATAGCAACGATAAACTCATCCACATACAAAAACTACATGGTGTTCAACAAAAAACAAACCGTAGTATGAAAAACAACTTCAAATTTGTTCAACATCTGAGGCTGCACAAAGGACAGTGAGTCGAGGCTAATATTAACAAAGTTTGTGAGCTAATGCTAAGCTAATGTTAGCTTAACAGCCAAAGAACGTTTTCAATTCAATTCAATTCAATTTTATTTATAAAGCCCAATATCACAAATCACAATTTGCCTCACAGGGCTTTACAGCATACGACATCCCTCTGTCCTTAAGACCCTCACAGCTGATCAGGAAAAACTCCCCAAAAAACCCTTTAACGGGGAAAAAAACGGTAGAAACCTCAGGAAGAGCAACTGAGGAGGGATCCCTCTTCCAGGACGGACAGACGTGCAATAGATGTCGTACAGAACAGATCAGCATAATAAATTAACAGTAATCCGTATGACACAATGAGACAGAGAGAGAGACAGAGAGAGAGAGAGACAGAGAGAGAGAGAGAGACAGAGAGAGAGAGAGAGAGAGAGAGAGACAGAGAGATGCAGGACAGACGGTAATGACGGTAGGTTACAACAACATTGTTGAAAGTAATTATTATTATAGTTATAGTTTTGGCTACTGTGGTACAATATGTTGAAAGTATGTATTAATATCTGTTTTCAAACAAAATTGTTTCAACAAATAAGCAAACTTTAAAAAGCTTTCATGATTTCTTGTAAATTTAATATCTGTTGAATTAGTCCAGGACTGCATTGTGATGTTTACCATTTGAAACTTAATGTCTATGACTCAAGACTTGTTAGTCACGACTTAGGACTTGAATAGGGACTTGTCATTTCAGTTGTTTTGGAATGGGCGTGGTCTCTGAAGCAGCAGCATGTTTCTCCTCATGAATGTTTTGGGCAGTTGAAGCACATTTGGCTCCGTCCGCTCGATCAGAACTGCTTTAACAACTGTGTTAACCTCCTCCACCTGCCCACACCTTTATCAGACACGTCTTTGACACCACCTTCCAGTGTGGATGCTCACAACGCAGAGAAACACTGTGACTCATGACGAGGTTGGACAACATGTCATATAGACTACACCAAATGGGACTCTGAACATCACCTGAAACCCAGACAGGTGGATGTGATGATGTGAAATATGACTATAGATGATCTGCTTCACCTGTTCCCACAGGTGTTCCTCCACCTGGCCTATAACCGTCTGGAAAACCTGGCAGAGAACATCCAGGCTCTGGTGGAACTCAAGATCCTCATTGTGGAGGGAAACAGCCTCCACTCTCTGCCTAAAGCTCTCTGCTGCCTCACCAGGTAACACCACCTCACCAAGTAACACCACCTCACCAAGTAACACCACCTCACCAGGTAACACCACCACACAAGGTAACACCACCTCACCAGGTAACACCACCACACCAGGTAACACCACCACACCAAGTAACACCACCACACAAGGTAACACCACCACACCAAGTAACACCACCACACCAGGTAACACCACCACACAAGGTAACACCACCTCACCAGGTAACACCACCACACCAGGTAACACCACCACACCAAGTAACACCACCACACAAGGTAACACCACCACACCAAGTAACACCACCACACCAGGTAACACCACCACACAAGGTAACACCACCTCACCAGGTAACACCACCACACCAGGTAACACCACCACACCAAGTAACACCACCACACCAAGTAACACCACCTCACCAAGTAACACCACCTCACCAGGTAACACCACCACACCAGGTAACACCACCACACCAGGTAACACCACCACACCAGGTAACACCACCACACCAGGTAACACCACCACACCAGGTAACACCACCACACCAGGTAACACCACCACACCAGGTAACACCACCACACCAGGTAACACCACCACACCAGGTAACACCACCACACCAGGTAACACCACCACACCAGGTAACACCACCACACCAGGTAACACCACCACACCAGGTAACACCACCACACCAGGTAACACCACCACACCAGGTAACACCACCACACCAGGTAACACCACCACACCAGGTAACACCACCACACCAGGTAACACCACCACACCAGGTAACACCACCACACCAGGTAACACCACCACACCAGGTAACACCACCACACCAGGTAACACCACCACACCAGGTAACACCACCACACCAGGTAACACCACCACACCAGGTAACACCACCACACCAGGTAACACCACCACACCAGGTAACACCACCACACCAGGTAACACCACCACACCAGGTAACACCACCACACCAGGTAACACCACCACACCAGGTAACACCACCACACCAGGTAACACCACCACACCAGGTAACACCACCACACCAGGTAACACCACCACACCAGGTAACACCACCACACCAGGTAACACCACCACACCAGGTAACACCACCACACCAGGTAACACCACCACACCAGGTAACACCACCACACCAGGTAACACCACCACACCAGGTAACACCACCACACCAGGTAACACCACCACACCAGGTAACACCACCACACCAGGTAACACCACCACACCAGGTAACACCACCACACCAGGTAACACCACCACACCAGGTAACACCACCACACCAGGTAACACCACCACACCAGGTAACACCACCACACCAGGTAACACCACCACACCAGGTAACACCACCACACCAGGTAACACCACCACACCAGGTAACACCACCACACCAGGTAACACCACCACACCAGGTAACACCACCACACCAGGTAACACCACCACACCAGGTAACACCACCACACCAGGTAACACCACCACACCAGGTAACACCACCACACCAGGTAACACCACCACACCAGGTAACACCACCACACCAGGTAACACCACCACACCAGGTAACACCACCACACCAGGTAACACCACCACACCAGGTAACACCACCACACCAGGTAACACCACCACACCAGGTAACACCACCACACCAGGTAACACCACCACACCAGGTAACACCACCACACCAGGTAACACCACCACACCAGGTAACACCACCACACCAGGTAACACCACCACACCAGGTAACACCACCACACCAGGTAACACCACCACACCAGGTAACACCACCACACCAGGTAACACCACCACACCAGGTAACACCACCACACCAGGTAACACCACCACACCAGGTAACACCACCACACCAGGTAACACCACCACACCAGGTAACACCACCACACCAGGTAACACCACCACACCAGGTAACACCACCACACCAGGTAACACCACCACACCAGGTAACACCACCACACCAGGTAACACCACCACACCAGGTAACACCACCACACCAGGTAACACCACCACACCAGGTAACACCACCACACCAGGTAACACCACCACACCAGGTAACACCACCACACCAGGTAACACCACCACACCAGGTAACACCACCACACCAGGTAACACCACCACACCAGGTAACACCACCACACCAGGTAACACCACCACACCAGGTAACACCACCACACCAGGTAACACCACCACACCAGGTAACACCACCACACCAGGTAACACCACCACACCAGGTAACACCACCACACCAGGTAACACCACCACACCAGGTAACACCACCACACCAGGTAACACCACCACACAAGGTAACACCACCACACCAGGTAACACCACCTCACAAGGTAACACCACCACACCAGGTAACACCACCACACCAGGTAACACCACCTCACAAGGTAACACCACCACACCAGGTAACACCACCTCACAAGGTAACACCACCACACCAGGTAACACCACCTCACAAGGTAACACCACCACACCAGGTAACACCACCACACCAGGTAACACCACCTCACAAGGTAACACCACCACACCAGGTAACACCACCTCACAAGGTAACACCACCACACCAGGTAACACCACCACACAAGGTAACACCACCTCACAAGGTAACACCACCACACCAGGTAACACCACCTCACAAGGTAACACCACCACACCAGGTAACACCACCACACAAGGTAACACCACCTCACAAGGTAACACCACCACACCAGGTAACACCACCTCACAAGGTAACACCACCACACCAGGTAACACCACCTCACAAGGTAACACCACCACACCAGGTAACACCACCTCACAAGGTAACACCACCTCACAAGGTAACACCACATCACCAGAGTTAGGGTTACATATTTCAGCAACACAGCACTGACACACCTGAGAGGTGGAGCTTGTTGTCACTAACAGTTAATGTGTGATTTGATTTTGTCTCCTGCAGTTTGGAGCTGCTGAATCTGGACTTTAACGACATTAAAGATGTTCCACAGGTAGAGACACAAATTGTTCTGATGATGATGGTGATGATGGTGATGATGATGATGGTGATGATGATGGTGATGATGGTGATGATGATGGTGATGATGGTGATGATGATGATGATGATAGTGATGATGATGATGATGGTGATGATGATGATGGTGATGATGATGATGATGGTGATGATGATAGTGATGATGATGGTGATGATGATGATGGTGATGGTGATGATGATGATGATGATGATGTGTTCAGGAGATGCACCAGTTGTCTCGACTGGAGAAGTTGGCCTGCCATCCTCTGGATAAAGGACTCCACATCGTCCACAACCCGCTGCTGAAGCCTGTGAAGGAGGTTCTGGAGGGTGGACTCAGCGCACTCTTCAACTACCTGAGGGCTGGGTAGGGATGGGGCGGGACTTGTTTTATTACATGACGGCTG